GCAGTACAGGTCTGCACTCAATCCGATCACTCAGGAAGCTCAAACAAGAGAATTAGTTATGAATTCAAGGGCAGTTTGGGCTGCAGAGCAAGTTCCCAGCCGTCCTGTAGCTGAAAGAGGGAGGGAGAGAGAAGGAAGGAGGACATGGCCAAGGTAACATCTCCCACACCATCTGCCCTTAATGAGGTGAAAATTAAGACCACAATGGGTCCTAATTAAGAAGAGAGATAACGTGAGTACTGGTGAGAATGCAGAAGCTGGATCCTAGACCTCGCCTCTTCGAGTGCACAGTGGAGCAAGCCATGGCAATGCCATCATTCAAAGCAAGTTGGCAGTTTTTACAGCTACACATCCATTACCAAATAACCCAGCAAAGCTTCCCACCCAAGAGAAATGAAAACCAAAGTCAGTAGAAAACTAACCCGGCACTCTTTATATCTGTTCAAAAGTGGAAGCACAGCTCAGGGAGTGGGTAAAAGTGCTGTGTGCCGCACAAGTCCAACGACCTTAGTTCGATCCCCAGAGCCCACAGTGGAAGGAGAAAACCAACCCCCAAAAGGTGTCCTCTGACTTTTATATACAGCACAACAGTATGCTTGTGCCCACACTCACACACACAGTAATAATCAATAATAATAATAATTAATCAAAATTTGAAAACTAGAGACAACCAGATGTCTACCAACTGGTGTGTGGATGAATGAATATAATGCACTTGGACAATGGGCTAGACCTCTGCAATCTAAAAGAACAAAGGCACAGGACTTAGCTCAGAATGCAGCTCGGTAGACCAGTTGCTTAGCATATGTAAGGCCCGGGTTCAGTCACAAGCAAAAGAAAAAAATAAAAGATAAAAAATTTAAAAACAGATTAGTAACATGCATAGCCAAGTAAATGGATCCAAAATATATTATGCTAAGTGAGAAAGAAGCTAAACACAAAAGATTATAGATTTCATTTGTATAAAAATCTGTAGAAAAGGCAAAACCACAGTGACAGTGACAGCCTTAAGTTAGCAGTCATCTGGCCCTAGAGTAGTGGTGGGTCTTGATCCAAAGGAAGGGTGAATGTCTCCTGAGGTGATGGACTGTTTCTACCTGACTGTTGGTGGCTGCACAATGGTATAGAAGGGTAAAGCTTATGGCATATAAAATATACCCCAAAAGTTGTTTTTAATGCTGGTGAGAATAATGATAGGCTAATCCTATAGGCAAAATTCGACAGGTGTGTGCATGCTGTCCCCCATGCCCATGTTGTCCCCCATGCTAACTTTGGGCCCAGGAAGCTGCTGTGGGCAAAAGGGAAGGATGCTAGGTGGACTCCCAGCATGCTCTGAGTGCAGGCTCGGCCTTTTCCAGTTCAGTGGATGTGAAGAAAATGACGTCTACTTGGTTCTCACTCTAGTGTCTGAAATATGGAACTGAATCACCTATTTCATGGGTTATTTGAGACACAGAAAAGACCTGGTAGCCAAGACCCCAGAATGTCACCTGGAGCACAAAAGGCACCCAGTGAGGGTGGGATATGGCCACCTTCTAGTGTGTAATTTTTGATACTGTCTCTGGTTGTCATACTTCATGCTAGCAAAGGCAAGGATTTGGGACTGCTCAGTGGTTTACCTGCTTGGATTTGTAGGATTTTTCCTAGCACAGTCTGAAATTTGTTCCCAAGTAGAATTTTAAGACTTACAACTGACTCTTCATATGGATAGGTTCTATATCTAAAAAGCCAACCAATCAAGATTCATAGATACCTGAGGGAAAATCTGTGAGGGTTCTAAACAGGCACAAACTTTCTTCTGTCCTTACTCCCTAAGGATACAGTAGAGCAACTCTTTCCACAGTTCTTACATGCCCTCGATACTACACATCACCTAGAAGAGGGTTGGTAGAGTGCTTTGCCAGTGTGCACGATGCCTGGCATCCAGTCCTGAGCAGTGCCTAAACCAGGCATGATGGTGCACACCTGTAATCCCAGCACTCAAGATGGGAGGCAAGAGGACTGAGAAACACAAGCCAAGGTCATCCCCTGCCACACAGCAAATTCAAGGCTATCTTGGGCTACATGATTTCTTGACTCAAGAAGAGGAGGAGAAATCAACGTTGTCATCAAGTCAGGGTCTGTAAGATTAAAAATCCATCATAGACATAACTAGTTTGCTTGTGCAGGAGAACTCCTGACACTAACCCTGGAGGCATTTTCTGTGTGTCATCTTTGAAAGAATATCACGCGTGAGCATAAGGAGCGAAATCTTCTCACTATCCAGTGACGAGTTCCACTAGCCCAGGGGGCAGGACTGACTGGGGACTGCTGCCACTAGGGAGAGCTGGGCAGTCACAGCCTACAGTGGGCAGGGCCACTTACACATCCTGTATCTCAAGAAATAAGATGATTTCAGTTTGCATTTCAAAATGAAAACTGTGTCCCAAGTGTGTGTAACCCAGAAGTGATTTGTGTGTGTTAGCATAGAAATTACATAGAAAATGGCATTCTTATGCTTTCGGTTATCATCCAGCTGTTTTCTTTTTAAAAAAAAAAGTTATGAAGAATCTGATAGCAGAAACAAAAACAGGTTATCATCTGAGAACTGCAAACTTTTTTTAAAACATACTATCAATTCCAGGTCATCAGAGATGGTGGAAGAATAAGATTGTGAAAACAATGGGTAGTGGTTAGGTACTTAACTTTTTTTTTTTTAACTTTAAATTTTACTTAAAATTATGGTCCCTGGGGAGATGACTCAGCAGATAATGTGCTTGCTCAGCAAATGTGAGTGTCTGCGCTCAGAACCCCAGCGCCCACATAAATGCCTGTCACACCAGCACTCAGAAGGCAGAGGAGAGGGCTCTCAGGTGGAGAAAGCCAGTTAGGTAGAGTTCCCATTTCAGTGAGCTCTGGATTCATCTCAGAGACCCCGCCTCAATAGACAAGGCCAAGAGCCATCAAGGAAGACTCCCAATGTCAGCTTCAGATGTCTCCATGCACTTGCATACATGAACACACACAGATGCCCACATGTGCAGACATGAGTTCACACACATGTACATACCGTACACGTATATATTCACATATATATTCACATAAGAATACAAAAGTTTGCTCTCAAAACTCGAGAATCTTGTTTTGAAGAGTAGTTTTAAATGTGGTGCTGTGTTTAATTTAGATAATGCAGCTCAGCCCCTTGGAAGAGTCAGAAGTATCTGTGTATTTCAGTTGCTTAAACATACAAAGATCTCAAGATGCTCCTCATTCGGTAATATAGAAAACAGAAATGTCACAGTCACATTGCTCCTTAGCTTTTCACTTCTGAATACTTCCCACTGGCGCAGGAGAGCTGGGATGCAGACATTGGTTGATACAAGAGGCAGCCCAGATGTATCCCACAGTGATCTTGAGAGGTGTGGATCTGAATGTTGCTAGCACCCATGACCCCTATCCTTCTAGTCCATCCAGCCCCACCCAGCAAGAACCTGGCCTGATGTCACTGACCAGATAGCAACAGGTTCTAATCTGGGTGCCTACCTCTCCTCTGCCACCTAGACAAGGGTCATGCAGGGTGCCACAGCACCTCTGCACTTCCACTGGCTCCAGTCCCTGTGACAAGCTTCCCATGACCTGGTCTCCAGAGAGGCTAACCTCTTCCTGTATCTTTCCCCTAGCCTCATCCCAGTTAGTTCAGGGTCTGACCTGTGTGGGGTCTTTTCTGTGACCAGCTGCTGTGACCACCACATCGGCCCACTACGCAGGGTGAGGGTGGGGAGAGCCAGCTCTCCCAACCCTGACATGAACTAGAGGAACATGGGAGAGCTTCCCAGAGAGAGGCAGGAGCCTGCACCTGCTGGCACTTTCCTCTGCTTTGTGTTGCCCTTTCCTAACCCAAGAATAAAGTAAGAGAACTGCTGCCCTTCACACTTATTAGCCGGGCTTAGACTCTTCCTGGGCACCTCTTAAACCACCAGTGGAAACTATGTGGGCTTTTAGAAAATGTAGAATAGTGTCAATGGTTCCTCGATTCAAACCCAGCCCAATCTGTTTTATGTTAAGTCAATCACCTGGAGAGGAATCAAGTATCCCAGAACTAGTGACTTGACTTTATGGTAAGGACAGGTCTTTCAGTGGGTCCTGCTGCCATAACGGGTGAGCATGGTGACCTTATGACTCCTGGGTGAACCATAATTCACAGTTCGTATTTAACTCATGGTTTGCTTTACACACAAAGAAACAAAACCCTCTTAGTAAGTGGTCCATCACCTAGCAGGCATAATACTAAAGGTTGAAGCAGGAGAATCATAAACTTGAGGCCAAGCTGGACTACCTGAGACCCCATGGCAGATTTTTTATATTAATGGGTCAATTTAATGTATTTACTTTGGCATGTCAGTCTTTTTTATTTATGTGTGTGGGTGTTTTGCTTCATGTGTACCACATGTATGTCTAGTGCCCAAGGAGGCCAAAAGAGGGCATTGGATTGCCTTAAACTAGAATTACGTGTGACTATGAGCTACCATTTGGATGCTAAGATTCAAACCCAGGGTCCTTTGCAGAAACAGCAAATTCTCTTAACCACTGAACCATCTCTCCCGCCTGCCATTCTTGTCTTACCTCACATTAAAAAGTCACGAGACACCTGCAAGATGGACCTTAGACTATCCATGTCTTCTATTGCCAAGGCGATGGCTTAGCTCTCAAAAGCACTGAACGCTAAAGAGCCGCACAATTGCGTTCTTGTTTTATAATTAATGACTGGCACCAATTTTTGACTTCCGGGTTTCATTCTGGTGGGCTTTGTGAACAGTTGGGAGGTTCCATAGCTTGCGTGAGTTGTGAGAGCCCAATTGCCTGCTTTGCATCGTGCTGAACCGTCGGTGTCCATGGCAACATAGAGCTTAAACTACAAGAATCCCTGCCCTCCTCACAACTTCTGTCTTACAGTTTCTTCTCCCTCTTCACTTTGTAAAATATCCTGACATGTGTTTTCTTGTCATTCTTCCCACCCTTAGGAATTCTTTGATCACGTGAAGAAGCTGTGGGACGATGAGGGGGTGAAGGCCTGCTTTGAGAGATCCAACGAGTACCAGTTGATCGACTGTGCACAATAGTAAGTTGCTTCCCTGGCCAGGCCTCTGTGAAACATGATTGCATTCCTGGCTGTGCCGCCCTCCCTCGGACTCTGAGGCTTACTAAAGCAGGGAGCAAGTGTAGCTTTTAACTCCCAAAGTTAGCTTTCTAAAGGAGGTGTGTTCAGTAACATTGTTTCTAAAGAAGTTATGTTCAGTAACATTGTTTCTAAAGGAGTTATGTTCAGTAACATTATTTCTAAAGGAGGTGTGTTCAGTAACATTGTTTTAAAGGAGATATGTTGGGCAACATTGTTTCTAAAGGAGGTATTTTCAGTAACACTGTTTCACGGAAGAATCAAAATAACTTTCACTCACTTTGTCCTGACCATTTCAATTCTCTTCATTTTTTTATTGCTACAAAGACTTAAACGCATGTTTCTAAATTATAGTGTACTAAATATTCGTTATTATATTTTAATTTTGAATTAAGACTCCCAAATTCATTTTTTAATATCAAATTTTGTAGTGCTGGAGAGATGGTTCAGTGTCTAAGAGCACTGACTGCTCTTCTGGAAGACCTGAGCTCAGCTCCCAGCACCTACATGGCAGCTCACAGCTGCCTGTAACTCCAGCATTAGAGGATCTGATGCCATCTACTGGCCTCCTCCAGCTCCTGCACACACCATGCACAGAGATACACAGACACATGCACCTAATTTAAAATAGAATAAAACCTGTTTTCTATTGCTTCCCTGGGCCTACTGCACTTTGGAATTCAGCATAATGAAGCTAAAGTTGGTCTCAGGCAGGTTTTCTTCCTCCTTTTTCTACTGTTTTGGAATGCTTCTGGACTTGAACCCGCAGTGACTTCATTGTGTTCTGGTTGGCTGATAGTGAAAATGAAAACAAACTGATTATGAGACAGAAGTGAGAGTTGACTACATACCTACCCCTAGTCATACAACTGCCTGTAACCAGGGTACTGAGAATCAATGGTGATTTTTCTCATCCTGCTCTTTCCTGTGGATCAATAAATCTGCATGCCAGGGAAATGTTTTCCTATTGTCTGAGATCGAGCACAGACCAGTGTTGGATCTCACCCATAGATTCCAGGAGGTTTGCTTCATGAACAGGCTTAAACTATCTTCTCTGGGGGCTTTTGGAACAAACAAGGATGGTATGCATCCCTTTAGTGATGGCTCCCGGGTCCATCTCCTTGCAAAGTAAAAACTGTGAATTAATGATCCCTGTGTTAAAACCCCCTTTGTTCCCGAGGTACAGAAGCAAGTGGTGATAGTAGCCTGGGACTCAGGTCCAGCCATACTGATGTTCTGTCCATTTCATGACCAGTGATGACATCAGCTACCTGTTTAAATGCCTTCTGGGATTTGGAATAATCCAGTTCTCTAGTGTCATATTTAACCTAAGAGCATCAGAAAACACAGATCTTTACATTATGATTCATAACAGTAGCAAATTTACAGTTAGGAAGTAGCAACAAAAATAATTTTATGGTTGGGGCTCACCCCAATGTGAGGAACTGTATTAAAAGGTCGCAGCATTAGAAAAGTTGAGAACTAGAGTTTTCAGGGGGAAAACGTATTATTTCTATAAATTTGATGAACCAATACATAGCTGCCAGAGTTTTTTAAGTTGCTAAGCAAATGTTAGAAAAATGTAAGCTGTGACCACCTCCCATCACTGTCACTTCCTAAAAGAAAGGACATACACGCACCACATGGGCAGAGGGATGGGACCATGATCCTGTGCTGTTTGCCCACTCACAAGACTTTGATCTTCTCCAGACAACTTGACATTCCTGTGGAAAGGAAGCCTTTGGCAATCTTGTATGTAACAGAGTCAGGTATTGCTGATGATATTAGATAGTTCATCACTGTACAAACATCATAGAACATGCAGAGCCTCTGAACGCCCAGCTACCAGGTAGACAGCTAGAGACACAGATAAGTGTTTACTGGCCTACTCTTTCGAGAACTTTGATGAATAAAACAACACACAATGAAGTCAAACACACAAAAAATAATTGATTTAATCAAGAGACAAAATAGGGACTAAAGATGGCTCCGAGGTTGAGTGTTTCCTACTCTTTCAGCGCCCAGGTAGCCTACAACCATCTGAAACTACAGGCCGAGGAACCCAATGCCCTCCTGTTGGCCCCAGCGGGCACCCACAAATACATGGTGTACACGCACATACAGATCCACACGTATACACACACAAAAATATCTATCTTACTTTTTAAAAAAGAGACAAGGTAAACACCAGATTGTGAGGCAGCTGCTGTCAAAACCCAGCATTCTAGTTTCTGGTCCACTCTATTTCCTACAAGTGGGAGGAACACACTCTGAAATCACAATAGGAAGTCCAGCGTGGTAAATACTACACTGATAGCACACTCCCTCGCCTTATCAAGTGTGACCTGCCGTGTGTGACTCATGACTGTACTTTTTCTGGCCGGCAGCCCAGTGTGTGGTACATACCAACATTGCTCCAAATGCCAAGAAATGCACTGTGCTGCATTCCAACAGCTGTAAAGACCTGGAAGCAGAATCATTCTGCTCCGTATAGTCTTAGAAACTACCAAGGGTACTTCAGTCTAGCTAATATGGAGGTTTCCTATGCAACACGGGCTCATAGCTGAGTTAACAAGGCAAGAGCCCCATAGTCCATGTGCTGCTGATTGGAGATACTGACTGACCTTCGATTCCTTCATAAGTCCATACCACACCCTAGGTTCTCACACACTGCAGCTTCCTCTTGCAGATCCTCAGGATCTTTATGTAGCTTTTTTTTTTCCTCATCTAGACTGCTAGGCGAAGTTCTGACTAATGTCTCGGGTGACTCTGAGTCACCCAAGTGCTATGTTATTCAGCAGTTCTGCGCTTTGAATGCTGGTGCCTGCTTAGGAGTCATTTATCTGTGCATAGCTCTTGGAACCAACAGGGGAAGAGTTGTTCGATGATACTGAAATTCTCTTCGGGTCTTAAGAGACTGAGTTGCCCACTAAGGTCTAAGAAGAGGCCAGGCCCAGTGGTACCAGCTTGTAATCCCAGCTACTCAGGAGGTCTAGACAAGAAGATAGCAAGTTCAAGGCCCCTTCTGGGCTTGTAGAGTGAACTCAAGGACAGTTTGGTCAGCTTAATGAGAACCTAGCTCAAAACGTAATTTTAGTTTTAGTTTAGTGATTGTCTAGCATACATGAGACCCTTTGTTTAACTTTCAATACCATATATTTCAATACAATACAGCATGAGAATCTTGCAGTCCATAAAAGACTCAGTTTGTTGTCCCCAACCATTCACCCTTAGATTATGCCCAAGAGAATTATAGACATGAACCCATACAAACAAGGGTCCATAGCAACCTTACCCGTAATAGCCCAAATCAGAAACAACCCAAGTGCCCATCAACACACATAGATATGCAGTGTCTTTGCCGTAGAATGTATTCAGCAACAGAACAAAAAGGCAGCGCTAATGCACAAGTAGGAAACTGGCAGACCTGGAAGACACCATGCTAAGTGATAGAAGCCAAACCCAAAGAGTCACAAATAAATGGTCCCTGCATATAAAATGCCTATGAATAGGCTAGAGCTGGCTCAAAGGTTAAGAGGTCCTTCCCAGTAACTACATAGTGGCTCACAACCATCTAAAATGAGATCTGGTGCCCTCTTCTGGTTTGTAGGCATATATGCAGGCAGAATACATGGTGGATGGATGGATGGATGGATGGATGGATGGATGGATGGATGGATGGGTGGATGGATGGATAGAGATAGATAGATAGATAGATAGATAGATAGATAGATAGATAGATCTTTTTAAAAATGCCTATAGATGCGGAGGCAGGCTAATGGTACTGAGGATGGGGAGAGGAAGGGATTGAATAAGACTATTCGGGGTCTTTCTCTCAGAGATGATGTGTGTATCAGTTACTTCTGTGCTGCTAGACAAAATGCCTGAAAGAAGCAACTTAAGGAAGGATTTGTTTTGACTCACAGTTTCAGGGGAGTTCACTCATCATGGCTGGTAGGGCATGGTGGTGCGATTCACTCACTGCATGTCAGACCAGGAGTAGAGGGAGGAATACCAGTGTGTTATTGGCCTTCTCATTTTCTCTTAGCCTGTGGGTTAGTGTTACCCACTTTTAGGGTGAATTATCACCCCCTCAATTAATTTTCTCTAGAAACACCCAGAAGTGTGCCTCATCAATCTCCTAGGTGATCCTGAATATATGAATGTATGTATGTATGTATGTATATGTATACACACACATATATATATACATACATACATACATACATATATAGATGTGGGGGCTAAAAAGGAAGAATGCAAGGCAGAAAAAAATGCTGATATGTGTGTGGGCAGTAATCATGCAGGCCTGGTGACAATAGAGCTACAGCTACAACCTCCTCCTTCAGCCCTCCGAGTCCTCAGTTCATAATGATGTAGCAGAGACAGGCACCTGCACTTGTGAGGACCGCATCTTTGTCCTCAGCCAACCAACATCATGTGCCCCAGAAGCACCCTGAACACTGAAGTCCGTGTACAGAGGGAAGGACCTTTGAAGTGTACCACATGGGTGCAGTAAACATTTGGAGGCTGTAAAGATATGCATTATGCTGTTCGGGCACACAAGGAGCAGAAATTTCCTCAGGTTGCTTCTAGGAGACGTGGGGTTTCTCCAAAGCTGTGTGGGAGCGAGTTTTGAATCAGCAGTACTAGCAGGGAGGCCCTGGGTAGGTGGTTTCTCTTTGGGATGATGGGTATATTGGCTACTCTCGAGTATGTCTCTTCCTATTTTCATCTCTTCCACCTTTCCCTTGGCAGATGAGATTCCAAATGGTGTGGAGTGGAGAGATAGGCAATACTCAACCGGGGCCGCCTCACATCTGCCCTCTAGTCAGTTATTAGAACCCCCTCAGCACTATCCCAGCTTGTGGTCACATCTGTGTCCCTGAGCAGCAACTTCTGCTTCCCTCAACAAGACTGGAATAATAGGATGGCGGCTGGGG